TGGAAATGGAATTAAAAGATAAGCTTATTTTAGCACAAAAATATTGAGATCCACACATAATTTTTTCATAATATGTACTTTCTAAGAACTTTCCAATGCTTTTTTTTTTAAACAAAGCATGAGTTCTAAACCTTTCTACACCCAAACAAACTTGTGTTTTATTTCCACTTTTCCAGCAACTCCGTGAAATACCCTTTGGGCGTGTGGAAAGGTCAATGAGAAAAGTTTCCACAAGCATATGGACAGGAGAATGCTGTGGAAAGCAGACACGGCTGGCGGTCCCAAGATGACAGAGGGTGGTGACAGGCTCAGGATAAGGGCCACTTCAATGGAGTCCCAGCCAGACGCCGGCCCCCATAGTTAGGGAAAATTTCCTACTTTGCGAAAATGGCCTGGGTTCTTATGGGACCAAGGACCAGATCCACCACCCTTCCCTCAGCAGAAAGTCATCTTTCAGCTGCTCCTTCAGTGGCAGACAGCAAGCCTGGCCACGCTGTGACAACAGCTATGTCCTGCACTGAGTCTCCTCAGTCTCGTGGGGAACAGGGCTGGGCTTCTGCTGCCCCCGTGACCTCTATGCAACCTCAGGCTTCAGAGCCCAGGACCAGTTCTCACTGCTCATGCCTCTCTCTCTCTGAGTATCTCCTGCTGCAAACTTGGTCAACAGTAATGAGCATTTTAGGAAGTCACTTCCTCTCCCAGGGCACTGCTCTTCTCACTCAGCCTCTTGCTCCTCGGCTCTGACAGCAGCTGTAAGGACCTCCTGCACTCAACACTTCCTCTTCCTAAATCACCTGCTCTCACTAGGACAACTGCCCTTCTCCACAGTCTGGGGCATCCAAGACCCTCAATGGCAGGTGCAGCACCTGCGTGGACTGCAAAGGAACCTACCTGCTCCAGTCCTGCCCTGCTGCTATGGGTGTCAGACCCCAAGCAAAAGCCTCAGCAACCAGTGTGGGGAAAACTCAGGAATCAGACCAACCTCACCTCTGCTGCGTACACCTGGGCTGGGTGAGGTGGTGCTCCTCCACCAGGGGGCCATGAGCGCTGACTTTGCATACACCTCGGAGGCAAAAAGAAGCCAGGCACACACTCAGAAATCATACAACATCTGCGGCTGATTTTCGCAGCCTTTTAGCATCGGGCAATCCTGAAGATATGCTAAGACGCTCACATCATGGTGGGGAGAGCGCCCAGGTTTACAAGGAAAATGCACTTACTGGAGGGTGACAGAATATTCATGCCAGCTGGAAGGCCAATATTCCACAGTGTCACTTTCAGCCCTTGAAAATCCACGAGCCACAGGCAAGTCCACCAAGACCACAGCTGACACACAGTTCACAGCAACCTTGTGTGACCGGACAAAAGGCAGACTGCCAACCACAGGCACCTCACAGTCCAAGGAGACCAGGACAAGTTTGGCTTTGTAGCCACGAGTCTGAGAAGTCACCACCTGGACAGATGCTGGCTGCAAGATCAACTACATTCAGGAACTGTCCAGGTGTCAGCTCCATATCAAGGAAACCCAGGTTCCTGGGGCAGGGGCAAGCTGTGTGCGCAGCCAGCTCAGCTCCCACTCAGACTCAAGGTGCAAGTGACCTTCCCATGTCACGGTGCAAGTCCACACGCAGTGGAGCCGAGAGATCAGAACTGGCTGACTTTTCAGAGTCTACAAATCTATTTCTCAGAGATATGCAGGCAGGCATGCCAAAACCTAGGGGTGCGGCTGTGAGGGCTTCCTGGGACAATGGCATCCCACTCATGTGTGGCTCATCCATAGGGTTCCACAGTGTGGGAGAAGGTGATTGCACAGCTAGGGCCCATTTCCTCAGCAAGGGGGCCTGCCCTTTGCTCTGTTTATTCACTGGTTTTTTGATCATAAACACAGCTGTGAAGATGGCCTTCTGGGCCCCTCAAGGACCACCCAACTGGGGAAGGGGGTCCAAAGCAGCATGTGACCAGGGTCACAGGGGTCTCCAGCTCAACCACGGAAGGCGTGATCACACATGGAAAGGGCTGACATCTCTGCCCCAAGTCTTGGGCACGAACCTGGGGCAGGAATGCAAACTTCACAGTCAAGATGCGCATCCACCATCCTGCACCAACATCCGCCCTGAGCTTACAGGGGTGCCTTGGAGTCTTCCCAATGCAGTCCACCTCCTCAGCAACGCTGCTGCCCTGTACCCGAGAAGCTGCAGGTTCCATGAGGCATGGTGATTGTGCTGTTGGCAGCACAGGGTTGGCACAGTGCTAGGGGAGAAGTACTGAGCAGCCATCAGCTGCCCATGTGCCAACAATGCCCTTTCTCTCTTTTTCCTCCTTTCTGGTTGGCTTGGTCTGTAGAGCTTTACCAGCCAGTGAGAATACATTCAACATTTAAACTGTGCTGGGTATTGGGTACAGCAGTTAAAACGCCATGTAGGATGCCTACATCCCATCTTGCAATGCTCAGGTTCAAGTTCCAGCTCACTCCTACTCCCAGAATTCCTTCTATATGCACACTCTGGAAGGTTGTGGTGATGCCCACATACCTGGGCCCCCACCACCCATGCAGGAGACCCAGATGAGGGTCCTGACTTCTAGCATTGGCCCGACCAAGTCCCAACTGCTGTAAGAGGAAACAGTTGATACAAGACCTCTCCCTCCCTCCTCCTCTTTCTACTCTCTCTCTCTCCATTTCAAATCAAAACCAATGTAAAAATGGAATTTCATTGGAAAAGAAAAGCAATGGGGTTCCACAAACAAGGACCACATCTGAGATTTCTATACTTAAAAAATAAGATTTATTTATTTTTATTGGAATCACAGATCTACAGGGAGGAGAAGGAGAGACAAAGGATCCCTCCCCCCCCCATCTTCTGGTTCTCTCCCCAAATAGCCACAATGGCCAGAGCATAGCTGAGCCAAGATGTGCAGAGTCCCAAGGCTTTGGGCGATCCTCTACTGCTTTCCCCAGCCACAAGTAGAGAGCTGGATCAGAAGCGGAGCAGCCAGGATATGAATTAGCACCCATATTTTTTATGCCATTGCTTACTGGCAGAGGATTAGTCAGTTGAGCCATCTCATTGGCCCCAGGGCTTTCTACATTTTTCAACTTACAAAGCACAGTCTGGTTTCAGGGCGACCCTAAGAAGCTGACGAAGTGATGTTTGTGTTCATGCTCTGGGGTCACTGGTCCCCTGTAAGACAGGTAATGATGCTGAGGCATGGCCTCACTGATGGACAGACCAGGAACTGCTTGAGAACAGAGGATTTCCTGAAGTGGGCCAGTACAAGAATGAGCTAAGCGACAGCCCAAGGCCTTCAGATTTAAGATCACAAAACTCAGTCACTTTTGCAGGCTCTGTGACAGGAAATATATTTTTAATGAGGAAATTGGAGCTAATAAGTAACAGCTGTGCTGTTACTGAGTAACAGAGTATTAAAAGCAGATTATTAACAAAAAATGTAGCAGCTCGGAAAACTAACCTCAACACATTCTCTCATTCCTTTCTCATTATACACAGCCTTTTTTTTTTTTTTAAGTTGTATTTATTTTGGGGAGGGGAAGAGGGGAGAGAGCAAGCAAGCAAACTTCCACCCAGTACCTCACTTCCCAAACGTCTCCAAGGCTGGGTCCAGGAACTAGAAACTCACTCCTGGTCTCCCACATGGTGGCAGGAACCCTAGCACTGCTGCTGCCTCCGGGGATGCTCAGCAGCAGGAAGCTGGGCTCAGGAAGCGGACCAGGGCTGTGCCAAGGCTTGCAAGTGTTAGTGCTTATGCACAACCAAGTCCGCTTTTCAGGATAAGTTTGCAGCAAGGCCAAAATACTGGACATAGTGAGGTACCTAGGAGGTGCTCTTATTCCAACAGGGTAGCAATGGGAGGGAGAGAGAACAAGAAGGGAAACATCTCCTGCCATGGTGGCAGGATGGGGGCTGCAAGGGAAGGGAAAGAGGGCAAGACGAAGGAGAACGGAGGAGAGCCAGGCGGGGAGGCCACACGCTCAGGGGAACAGACAGGAAGTGGATGGGAGGATGGCCATGAGAGATTGGTGGAGCTGCAGGGAATTGGCAGGTGGGTGGAGATTAGGGGGAGGGGCCACAAGAGATTGGTGGGTGGGGTTGTCAGGTATGGCGCCAAATTTATAGCAGATTGGGGGGCGGGGCTTACAAGGTTACAGCAGATTGATGAACAACCTGAACAGTGTAAAAATTTGCAAGCCATGGGAAGCTGAAACAAGAAGTGGCACTGGGTCCAAAATGATGGGTCCTTCCGGGTCAATGTTCAAGTCTCTTCTTACAGCAGGCATCTGAGCTGTTCCACCAGCAGAACGCTGGCTACCCTACATAGTCTTCAAGTTGGTGTTTCTACAAATACACCTGGTCAACCCCTTACACAGCTCATGCTTACAATGTGCTCCACAATTCACTAGTCTGATACTCAAACTTGCCTCTGCAACTGAAAAACGCAGAGAATAGCAACAGCATCCTAAGGCAAAGGAGGGTGAATGAGGTCAGTGAGATGCATCTGCAAAGGTGGCCAGCATCACCAATAAACGTGGGTACTGCCACCCCACATGGTTGTGTTCTTCCATCCATGCTAGCACGGCAGCAGGTACACTCAGTGCCATCCTATTCTACCCATGCCGGCACATCCACAGGTGCACCTAGATACAGCTATGGGTGCTATGACAGGCTTCCACCTGGAAACCCACTGATGGATCCTCCCAGAAACCCTGACAGCAAAAGTAGTTGTCTTCAATCAGTCACTCTGGCCTGTACCTGCTGACCAAGGACAGAGGACAAACACCTGGGATGTTTCCACAAAAACAGCAAACCAATACCACGCAAGAGATGCAATAAGTTATACCTGCATGGCTAAAGCAATAACCAACAGTGGGGAGATTACGTAGGAGAAAGGAAGAGGGGAGAACAAGTACAATTGCATACGAACACGGCTCTCCTTGTGGCTCAGCTGCCCTGTGCCACTGCCCAGACACAGAGAAAGGCACTCACCTGGGTATTGCATAGCTTGTACTGCCGGTAGGAACCAATGCAGGAGATGGCCATGGAGCGTGAAGGCTGGGACAAGCTCTGAGCCACACCAGGAGCCCCTGCACCATGGCTGCCACTGCTCCTCTCCGAGCTCTGGAAGAAACTGGAGGCCATAGGGAAGCCCTGGTTGTGGGTCAGAGGCAGCTGGTAGCTGGAAGCCTTGGCTGCCTGCAGCCCAGAGCGAGGGCCATGGTCACCATGGCCACCAGAACCATGATGGGAGAGCTGCTGGGCTGCAGGGCCATAACCAGTCCTGGGAACCGGTACATCCTGGGCCCTGGCCTGCCGGGATGGGGGTCTCTGCCTCCGCAGCCTCTGGAGTGTGTGTGCGGAGTCTGTCTGCAGCGGGAAGATGTATGGGGCTTTGCCATAGCCGTACCGTCCGGGGCCGATGGCACCCTGAGTCCTGCCCCTGGGGAGAGAAACAGAGAGGTGAAAAATACAATCACATGGTGTTCCTGGGAAATCAGAAGCTCCAAGGACAAGGCAGAGGAGACCAAGAGAAGGATTGGAGGCTTAGGAAGCTAGTGGTGGGCCTGGGAGGGAGAAGGTGCAGAATAGGGATGGGGAGGTAGGGGAAGGAGGGATGGAGATCCTGAGAAACACAAAAGTAAGTTTGCTATTTCAGCCACACACACATGCCCACTGGCTTTTTTCCTGATATTTTCTTCATTTCACATGGCACTTCAGACCCGGTCTTCATCATTCAGGGTAGGGCAGGGGTGCTCTGGACCGGCCCATCACAGAGTGCAGTGGGGGTTGGCCCTAGAAGGGTTTCACGGGCAGAAGGGTCTGAGAGTTGGGAAGCATGAATTGCAACAGTCACCTGACTCTCGCCTGTTGGGTGAAGTGGCCACCAAGGTCTCTGCAACCCTCCGACTCTCGGCTCCTGTAGCCATTCATTCCACATTCACATACTTGGAACTGTGCCCACTGGTTTCTTCAGGAAGGCCTTATTTGCATATGCACATTAATAGCAAAGTCAAGGAAAAAATACTAATGACTAACCTCACCAAGAAGTTCTTCGTCCAACATGAGTATAACTAATTACCACTCTACACGCTCACTGAACCTCCATTCTTGGCTGATATGGCTTGGAAGCAAATCACGCCACCGTGCATGTTCTGCCTTCAGGATTTCTCAGTCAATCCTGACAACACTTCAGGACTCTGTTAATAAGGGGGACTCTGAGATGCAGTGCAATTTACCCTACCCAGGCACCCGTGGGACTTCGGTGTCATTCCCTTTTGTCATGATGTCACAGATATGCCAAAGAAGGAATTCCTGTATGTGTAAGACCTGAAAGCCCAGAGGAAATCCTAGGGTATAGCAGAGGGGAGGGAGAAGGCAACCTGCTGAAGGGAGGGACTTCCCAGCCTCCCACTGCACAGCAGCTCCCTCCCCCCACCCAGGCCAACCTGGGGATCCTGGCTCAGAGGGCTAGGGCAGGGCCTAGGGCTCCAGGTTCCCCACAAGCTACACCCATACAGTCCAAAGGCAGAAAGAAAACTCATGTCCAGACGGTCACTACAGGGCTGTCCAAGATGGAAGCTGGCAAATACACAAGTGCTCCAAGTGGATGAGCTCAGACACAGCCCCTGTGAGTCCATTGGTAAGAACGGCCCACAGCAGAGATGGGAGAGTAGGCAGGGGGAGGAGCGACCGCCAAGGGCACTGGGTCTCTTTTGGAAAAAGAGGAACATGCTCTATAAATAGACAGTGGTGATGGACACACAACCTCTGAAACGCCCTCCTGGGATATGCTCCCAGCAATGCAAGCATGGGGTCTATAAATCAGATCTCAACAAAACTAATTTTTTTGTTAAACAAGAATACAAGAAACTGTCATGTCATCCGCTTACAAGGGCATTATGGAAACCAGGCTGGTGCTGACAATGGGGCTGAATCTGAAGCAGATTATTTTCTTTTATTTAAGATGTACTTATTTATTTGAAAGAGTTATACAGAGAGGGAGAGGCAAAGATAGATCTTCCATCTGCCTGCTTATTTCCCCCAAATGGCCGCAATAGCCAGCATGAGGCCACTGGGCTCAAGTCAGGAGCCAGGCGCCTGGAGTCTCCTCTGGGTCCCCCACGTGGGTGCAGAGGCTCAAGTACTTGGGCATCTTCTACTAATTTCCCAGGTGCATCAGGGAGCTGGATGGGAAGTGGAGCAGCCAGGGCTCAAGTCAGCGTCCACATGGGATGCAGGCATCACAGGTGGCAGACAAACCTGCCGGGCCCCAGCACCAGTCCCTTGAAGCAGATTGTACCATTTGTTCTCCACCATCTGCTGCAGCCACATCCAGTAAACCTTTTAGGAGTTGAGGACTTTCATGTGTCATTTTTCCAGGTCAGACACACAGGCGAATGCATGGTCCCACCCTGATGAGTGGCTCAGTGATAAGAACCTCCAGTCGACAGGGAGGCCTCCAGAAGGACCTGGTGCTACAGTGGCTGTCAAAATCTCCTGCAACATACTCTACTGGGCACTGGGGTGGGACATGGGAACTGGTATTTCTAGCAGGCTCCTGGGTGATATGGAACACAGGTTGACAGCTGCTGTTCCAACACTCTCCTGAGGCGCTGAGGGCAAGGTCACTGCTCTGGAGCCAGCAGGAACCTCCTTCCCAGCAGCACTGGCTGCACTCAGACTCTGTCATCAAGGCAGGAAGTAATAAAGAAGTCAAGGGTGCTCAAGACGGGTGGGCAGAGCCCAGAGTCACTCAAGCTGCATGCAGGGCAAGGGCTTGCTCTGGGGCCCTGGCTGAGCAGAAGGGTTGAGATCAGAGCCCAGTCCCCAGAACCTAGGCTGTATGGATTCTGGAGACACCCCACTTTGCTTCTTCTTTGTTCCCCTGACAGTCGCAGTCAGGGCTCTGTGGCTGTCAGGTGGTAGGGTGTTCTGTCTCAGCTGTGCTATCTGGAGCCACACACAGGCCACAGCAGCTGACACAGGAGGGCAGCCCAAGAGCCACTTGGGACAGGAGCCCAGCAGGGCAGGGAGGTGGGCAAAAAGTCAGGCATCCTGTGGTCTCACAGCTGTACTCACATATCCCGCAGTCACATGTCCTGTGTGGTCAACTGTCCTGCAGTCACACAGCATGTGGTATGGTGTCTTAGTCAGCTGTGCTGTGGTCACATGCTGTGTGTTCACACATCCTATGGTCAGGTGTCCTGTGGTCAGCTATGCTGTGTTCACATGTCCTATTGTCAGCCATGCTTTGGTCACACGTTCTATGGCCTCATGTCCTGTGGTCACACATCTTGTGGCCTCATGGCCTATGATGGCACATCCTGTGGTCAGGCAGACTGTGGTCTCACAGACTGTGGTGATAATACCCTGTGGTTTCATGTCTTGTGGTCAGTCATGCTGTGGTCACATGTCCTGTGGTCACATGGCCTATAACGGCACATCTTGTGGTCAGGCAGCCTGTGGCCTCATGTCTCGTGGTCAGCCATGCTGTGGCCACATATCCTGTGGTCACATGGCCTATGATGGCACATCCTGTGGTCAGGCAGCCTGTGGTCTCACAGACTGTGGTGATGCACCCTGTGGCCTCACGTCCTGTGGTCACATGTCCTGTGGTCAGGCAGTCTGTGGTCTCACATATCCTGTTTTCTTGCCCAGCAGGAGATGACTCTGCATTGTCTCCTTGCTGGAGCTGGGTGTGACTGACCCCTAGACAGCCGTTGCCCTCTCTGGAATTCCCGTTGCCTTAGAGGAATAGCTGTGTGGCCAGGAGCCATTCCCACAGAGGGCACAGGCCTGGGAGATGGAAGGGTGCTCATTATGGACACAGCAGGCAGGAGGGGAGCAGGTGCCAGCCCCGGTACTGTGTTGAGATGGACTCATCTGGTACCAGCAGGCAGTGCCCACAGATGTAAAGGACCCTCAGCCATGTGCACGCTGCACTGTTGTCATGCATCAGAACTGAACTCTGCAGGCCATCTCTGGGGGCAAACCCACCCTCTTGGCCAGCTTCAGCACTGAGGCCTGCCCGGGACCTAGGGAAGCTGAGCTTAGGTGCAACCCCACCCAGGACACAGAGCGATCCCGTTAGATGTACCAGAAGCAGGATGGACCTCACTCCACAAACAGTACCAAAAGCATCTTCTAAAGTAGCTTGTCCTGACACTTTCGAAAACCATCAAAGACTAGGGAGTGTATCCTAAGAAACCTAGCTCCTTCTTAAGTGTGTAAATGGCACAGAGTGGGGGGCACAACCATCCTGTACGCAGCAGGCAGGACCTGAGGAGTATTCCTGGAGGATCTAGCACCTTACACTCACCCCAGCAAGCCCCTTCTTCTCCCCTTGGGGTGCTGGAACAATCCTGAGGATGATGAAGCTCAAAGCACGGAAAGAAAGAAGCTGTCAGTTAGAGAAGCTGTGTCAGGAGCCAAGGTCCAGATAAAGGGAGTTGCTGTGTATGATGGCAGCGTTAGCAGAACCCCAGCCACCTCTCCAGGCAAAGGCAGAGCAGAAGGGGATGCAAGACCTTCGACCAAGGCCAGGCCTAAGGATAACAGCTAGGGGCCGGGTAGGACTAGAGGCCAGGAGCCTGCTGTGTTGATGGGGGAGCCCCTGTTCCACACAGAACCTAACCAGGCCAAGGGAGGGGAGTGTAATCCAGGAGCAGCTATGCCAACCCCACGGGTCTCTAATGTCCTGTGAGGTTGCAGAATCCACAGCCCTTGGGACCTGGGGTCCCAGCTCATCCTCAGAGAGGAGGCGAGCCCTAAAGAAAGGCAACAGAGAGAGGCCTGCAGACCAAGCTAAACTATGGAAAATAAGCAACATTTTGTGACCTGTGTGGTAGATGCATCATCCAAGCATTCTTGAGGTGGGACAAGGACTGAAATGGAAGATCGACTCAGACATTGTGGTGTGAGGAAGCTGTTGAGAAGGATGGGCCAAATGTGGGCACACTAATATAAAAAAGATGCTACAAGCACTAAATGGAATATTCAGTAGGTTCCTATTTGTTGCTTTTTAATTTGATATTTGAAGGGCATAGTTACAGAATGAGAGAAAGGAAAAAAGAAATATCTTCTATATTCTAGTCCACTTCCCAAATGGCTGCAATGGGCAGGGCTGGACCAGGCCCAACGACGGACCAAGAGCTTCTTCCAGGTCTTCCATATGGGTGCAGGGGCCCAGGCACCTGGGCCATTCTCGGTTGCTCTCCCAGGTGCCTTAGCAGGGAAGCAGATTGAAAGTGGAGCATCCAGGACTCCACCAGTGCCCAAATGGGATGCCAGCACTTCAGGCAAAGGCATTATGTGCTACGCCACAGTTGCAGCCCCTCTTTCATTTTAAAACAAAAACAAATTGGGAGGGGGGACCTTGTGTTGTAGAATAGGTTCCTCCTACTGCCCTGGCATCCCACATGGGTGCTGGCTAGAATCTCA